TCGGAAACTTACAAACAAATTTAGAAAAAATTAACAAAGTGTATAAAAATTGAAACATTAGTCGGAAATACTAGCTTTACTTTCTTTTTGTCATCATGTAGATCATTCATATTCCTTTTTATTTTTCTATCTTATTACAAATAACTATCAATTATGTTAATCTTTTATAATATTTGAAATACAATAACATTTCTACAAACGACTCCATAACGGATAATTCTATCCCCACCATAAATATTGAAAAACAGAAGGTTACATGCATCACCTTTACTATGAATATCTATATCGTTAACACACGAAACCACAACGAACGATTTTACGTATATCACGATAAAATTGACTTAATAGATTTGTATTAAATCATCTTTTCAGAAATCGAACCCCATAACTTATAGTCTAAGAACATTATTTTGGGCAATGCATTACATGATAGCACAAAAGAGAGTTTACACAAATGGTGAAAGTACCATCTGCTTGGCCGACTTTCGAAGTCTACCTGGAAGAGCTTGTGAGGAGCAAAACCGTATTCTCATCTTTTTATAATGTATGTGCCGTATTTAAACAACTCAAATGCATATTTATTGGCACGTAGTGTTCGACAATATCCATCTATTGTATTTGTAACCTTTGAGCTTTTAGTTTTTGAGCCGGTTTAAATTTATTCATGAATGATATTGACAAACAAACAAAAAATTAACATTTGCTCAACCTCAAGACCAAAATGGCTTCCACGTTAGCTTTAGTTTTCAATATAAGATTCAGAGATTTTTACTTTCTTTAGTTGTTTTATATTAGTGAACATATATTACAAAGTTATGTTTAAATAATGAGGGGGAAACAGATGAGGATTAAATCTTTTTCAAATGTTTTTAGATATACAAAGATTATTTTGCATTTGCACAGCATATATGGGAATCAACCGTATATCTATGGTAATTTTCATAAGGTATAGGTAAGATTTTTGTTTAAATGATTATGGTTTTAAGTTTTCAATGTAAATATTGACTAAAAGATGTCTAGTTTTCCCTTAAAATTAAATATAAAAAAAAATCAGATAATTTTTTCACTAATTTTATTTTTTGACTAGAACATCTAACTTAAAGTAGAACAGAAGACTATATATGAAAAAGTATTACAAATGAAATTTATAAAACTGCAATATTTTCCATGAATTGGAAACTCTATAATTGATTTTGTTCATTAGAAAAAAAATATGATCCACCAGGACTAAGTCCTAGCTGGCTGCTGCTGCTAAAAGATCCTCCCATGAGACTAATTTTTCTCTGTCCTTGTTTCTTTCACTCCCCATTTGTTTTTCTTTGGCATCAATTTTCTCCCATCCACTAAAATCTACCTTCTTCACATTTCTCTTCTCCAGCAATTCCATCAGTCCTTTGCTTCCTGCTTTTACGCTCGTACAAACACCTTCTGCAATGTCTTCGCTTATGCTACCAACCTGCAAAACACATTTCAATCATCTCCATTTTATAGACTTAAGAACATCAGGTTTATGTTCAGGTGGAAAAGTTTGGTGCTTACTGTTTCTTCCGCACAGTAAAGGTTTGTGCCAATTATGCCTACTGGTCCTCTTTTGAGCCATCCACATACGTATAAGCCGGGCTCATTCTGTGATATGCCTCCTGAAGTTTGACTAACTACTCGACCACTTACATTCGGGACAATACCTTGAAACATGCAATTGGGGCATACGCATAAATCAGAAGAACTCAATTTTTGTTCTCATCGAAGTTAATCACACAATACTTCCATATTATATTACCTTTCTTGTGATCAAAGGGTAAACCGTTGATTGGAACCGACTTGTAACCAATGGCCTTCAGCACCATACTGCAAAATTGAACATGCTTTCGTTCTATTCGTTGTAATTGTGGATATAATCATTGCACTGAGGACTTTTTATTAGCGTGCAGATTACCTGCAGCTAAGATCCTCAAACTCTCCTGTACCGACTGCAATTTGCTTTCCGCTTTCAACACCTACAAGTTGCAAGAGATATGGATGAAGTGTCAGCAAAACATACTACTGTATCCAAAGAAATCACCATTCCATTTTTCGTATCTCTTAGCCTACCGAAGAATCAGCATACGCTAAGAGTTTCACCTTGATGTGCACTTACTTTCAAGAATGGTTTTTTCCAAATTTACACCGGAAACTTGGCCCCTTCTTTCATCTGACTCCAAGAACTGGTCAGGTTGGCGGAAGAAAACAAAGTGCAGCTCTCGTTGATCAGGGTCTGCTTCGGATGTTCCTGCTGCTGCAGCAGCCTTGGACAGTAACTCATAGATCCTCTTTCTGGCTCTACTGTTTTTCATTTCTTCCTTTGAAAAAAAAAAAAAAGAAGAGTTCATAGGATAGATAATAGCACAAAAAGATATGCAGTTAATGAGAAGCAAATAATTTTTGTGTGGAAATCCGACGCAAGCAGGCATTAAAATTTATCACAATTTCACCAAAATGCAAATAACAGAGCTCAGCCTTACTTCAATTAAAAATCGGTAACAAAAGTACCTCATCAGCCGGAGTTACATTCAAGTCAGTCTCCTTTATTCGAACGTGCAAATTCTTAATCCCTGCAATATATAAAGATATGCCTTTATATTCATATCAATGGCAAAATAACAAACATCAATGGTTAATAAATCATCGAAAGATATTGCAGGTAATGAAAAGATAGGAACATCTTAAATATATGTCATAGAAAACAGAGACAATAAAGTAAGAGATTATCTCGCAAAGTAAGGCAAAGGAATAAATTTCTCCTATTCAACATCTTATATAGTATCAACTAATGTATAATCAATTGCAAAACATTCACCACTACAGTCCCATATGCAGTAGAGCAAACATAGTAGACAGTAAAATTAGAGATAGAGCTCACCAGCAAGTACTTTTAATTATCTTAAAATATACTTTTTCTGTTAGTTAGAGACCGGTGAATCGCCTACCCACTTATCCAACAAATGGTAAACGCCAATTGATACATACAGCACACACCCATCACTACGAACCACATGAGTATATATTGTTTCTAGTGATCCTAAGACGACATCCTCACACAATTTGTTTACTATGTCATTTCCTCTTCGACTTCTTTGTGGGATCAATTGAGAATCATTCCAAAGCTCAATAAATTATTTAAATATAATATACCGAGAACTTCTCGAAGCTCTTTAGCAGTCAATGCTGCTTGAACTGGCCCCCGTCTTCCGATGAGATATACCTTCCTGTACACATTACAATTTTGTTTCAGAGACTATAGAGTTGGTTGTCAACTATACGAAAGATGGAATGGAACAAGATTTTATTAGTTAACAGGACCTTATAGAACTTTCTTCCAGCGCAGATAAAGCATGCCTAGCAATATCAGTTGACGCCAACTCTGTTGTCGGTCTTAATAGAATCCTAGCAACATCGAGAGCTACATTACCCTAAGATTTGAAGGATTCATTTGTCAGAACGGCCTTGAGAAATGCATTTACTGGGAAAATTTGGTATCAAACTGTTATTGATATGTAAATCCTGTTACAATGGTAAGGATAGCTAGCCAACAACAAATAGTCCCCAAGCAAAGTAAATTTGTCGCACTAAAATAAAACTACACCTGTCAACCCAATTCTATTATTTGAGACCCCTCCAAATTAATTCCATCATTCAGTACAGCTCAATAACAACACAAATGCATGACTGCAAGGAGCATTATATTGTTCAAAAGGTAGAATTATATGATTCTTAGAATTTAAGGCGTTTTTTAGCAAAATGAGGATCGGAAACATATATTAGAGTACCTGGCCAAGAATAACAGCTGTGTCGGACCTTTTCAAGTCAGGTTTCAAACTGCTATAGTCCGGATGCCCATTATACCACCAAACGAATTCTCTTGCAGAGTATATACCACTCAAACGCTATCAAAGTAAGTCAACTTTATGCATCAGCATGGATACCCAATAAGAATAAGGAACCAAAATCCACTAACTTATGTAACAACCTATCTAAACACGTAATTCCGTCATATGAAACTTCTAATGGGCATACCTCACCTGGAATGCCAAGATCTTTGTCACTTTCAGCACCATATGCAAGTACAACCTGAACACACCATATTAATAATAAGTTGAAGCCTAAGCAAATTAACCTTCGAGACACGTACAGATATTTTAACCAATTGATTTTGTGTTCATCGATTAATGTTCTCCATCAACGTGTAAATGTTTTGTCCTAAATGTTGAAACTATGGACGCAAGGTATTATAAGAAAAATAGAGTTCAAGGAGTATAGTAAACAGATAGGCCTGCTTTGGGAGATTATTGAACAATCCATAATTTAGTTGTCCATCTAAATCATATAAGAGCATATAGTAAAGGAGGTCTTACCACGTGATACAAATCCCGCAGCTCAGAAAGTAATAAATCCGATCCAAGCTTCACATTCCCATAAAAAGAACAACGCTTGTGTTGCGCCACAAGCGAGAACTGGTTAATGGCATTCTGTAGAAAGCATTGTGGTTAACATTAGAATATCCCAACCTCTCTAAACAAGACAAAGCTATGAAATATACAGATCGAAATTGAGTAACACCTTAGTGTCAGGATGATCAGGCGCAACACCAGACCGAACAAGTCCAAAAGGTGTAGGTAACCGATCAATTATATCAATGCGTGCTTCCCCATGCGCCTTCAATAACTGATTACAAGCCATCAAATCAAGAGTTTAGAGTCTTAACTGATGATTTAAGAGTCCTAATACTCCAACCAAAAAACAAAGCAAAGAGAGGAGAAGTAACCTTATCAGCAGTATAGAAACCAGCAGGTCCACTCCCAACGATGCAAACATGTAGAGGACGAGAAGAAGCAGAGGAGAAGTATCTAGATACCAAGAATCGTGCTAGATATCTACTCATTTTTCAGCAGACACCAGACCCTGTTCTGAAAGTGTGCAACTTGCGTAGAGCCCCTCGATATTATGTCACAGAGATGAACGAATTTTGGGGTCTTTCACTCAATTACTTATAGGACGATGTACTTGGAGATGAACAACCCAAACCCTAGAAAAATAACTACCATTGCAAAGACAAAGAGATATATGTATCAAACTGAAGAAAACTTATGTTTAGAAACAAAGCCAGACGATTAGGTTTAAGAGGGAAACCGAAGAGAGATGAGGCAAGAACAAACAGTGTTAAAGGTTTTCCATACTTCGAAGATAATCCACAAGAAATATTTTCCCTTTCGAATTGAATCACACTAACTTATTGCAAAAAGGAGAAGATTTTACAGGTTGAGATCGTCTTTGATTTCGATTTCAAATGGCAACGTAACAATTTGAGGGTAAGAGAAAATCGGACCTGTGAAATGATTGGTGTTCCGTGGCGGCTTCCGCTGAGTTTATGAATGTCGGAGTTAAAGCTTCGCCGGCGTCCGTGGTTTTGTTTCGTCGGAGTTTTCGAATTGGTCGACGGTAAGTCACCGCCTGTTCCCAAATAGTTGAAGCGTGATGGGCCAGAATAATCCATAAGATATATAAAGGCATGTTTTATCTAGGCCCAAACGTGTTAAAAAGCCCAATTAAGATATATAAAGTAGTACACTTTTCCCAAACGATTTGTGTTGCTGGTTCATACTTGTTTGAAATAATTCTTTGGCACATTTGTGTTTCAGCAGTGAATTATTTGATTGCCAAAGATCTTTGAGAAAAAAAAAAGTAGAAGGAGAAATATCTAATATATATTGGGAAATCGCTACGACTCTGGTGGAGGTGGGAAGATCTGTCTGTCGGAACTCGACTTATTTCTAATGAAAAAAAATTAGTCCTTTTGAACCCATCGTTATTTTAAATGATATCATTTCACCATTAAATATGATGGGAAAACATGACGATTAATTCCATCAAGTTGTCAACGTATCTCACCAATCAAATTCATCGATGTTTATCAACAAACTTGATTATAGTTTCAAAAAATTTAGCAAGAACAAACGAAATCCTTATTTGTAGCATTCCTTAAGCTGATGTTCATATTAGTAATATCAGCTTTCAATTTCTTAGAATTCACAGCTTTCAACCTCTCTTGAGTTTTTTAATCTTTTATTTTATTTTCTTTTTCTTTTTTTTAACTTTTTGACGTTTCCTGATTTATTCAGAAGAATATTATTGTTTTTTTCTCTATTGTTGTGTGGGCACAAATTTTCCTTGTTCATCCATCTCTTTTTTTGCTTCCTCAAATGCATTGCTCATTAAGCTCTTAGAGACATGTGCGTTCTGAACAGTAAATTAGTTTGTATAGTCAAATCTAAATCATCGAGAACAGTGAATTAACAAAATAGTAGTCAAATCATAATCAAAATGTCTTGAATAGTGAATTAACGGTCAATTTGCTAACAAAATTCTCAAGAAAGCCAAAAGACCCAACAGTCAATCACTGAATCAAAGTCTGAAAGCAAAAAAACAAGTGAATATACACAAATAGAAAACATAGCTCTTTGAAAACTTATTATCATTGACATTTTCACATAAAAGCTTGAGATAGGTAGAATTAGGAGGTGAAAGAAATCACCGCCAAAGCTTTTGGATTGCACTATTCAGATTTAACCAAGGTTTTATTGCCACTGATGCGGAAAAAAATTGAGAGAGAACAAAATTTTGAGAGAGAAAATCAGCGGAGGATAAGATCAGATATGTAACGGTCTATATAACTGACAAACCTGAGGGAGCAATCACATGTGCAAACGATTACACCACCATTGGGTGGGCTTTTGATCCAGTGGTCGTCACGATCCTGGCGAAAAAAAAAAACAGAGTTTGTCATAATTCAATGGTGGAAAAATTACTAAAACGAAAAAAAAAATTTGTTTTTTTTGTTGTAAACGCTACATTTAGGAACAATGTTTTTGAATTTTTAACTACAAAGATGGTAATTTAACATATTTTTTTTCACAAGAAAACATCATATCTCATCTATATATTAATTCGAGAAATCATTTTAAGTAATTGGACATCTAGACATCTATTCCATGACATTTTAGTCTATAAAATTTAATGTGTTTACATATAATTAACATGATCATTTAAAAATGATTAAATTTGGTTTCCACGATTTAATAAAGTTTAGATTAGGAA